AAAATGTAATAAAGGTTAGTTTGGATTCTGTTAATAAACCTAAGAAAACATACGATTTGAATGCAATTAAAGCAGAAACACTAAGGGAATTGTTAGAAAAATATCATGATTATTATAAAATCTATACTGATGGTTCTAAGTGTGCAAATGGTAATGGAGCTGCATATTACGATCCTCATAACTTAAACAATAGTCACACTTACTATAAAATAAATGATTTTGTGTCAATTATGTCGTTGGAACTCTTTGCAATTTCAGAAGCACTGACTTATATTTCAACCTTAAGTTACGGACATATAGTAATTTGTGTAGATAGCAAAAGTGCACTACAACATATAGCTCGTTGCGCCTCTGGGTACAGAGGTGCACCGATAGCTTATGAAATACTCTCGAAAATATACAATCTATCTGAAAAAGGTACACAGCTGAGATTGCAGTGGGTTCCTTCACATATAGGTATTAAGGGTAATGAGGAGGCTGACCGTTTAGCAAAATTGGGTATAGAGAAGGGTATAGAAAAATATATTGGCACTAACTTCGTAGAAGTATTACCTAAGTATAAAAATATTTGTTACGGAATTTGGAAAGAATATTTTAATGAAAGATCACAGATAAAAGGGATTTGGTATAAGTCTATAGTCTCGGAGCCTCCTCATGTACCATGGTTTTCTAACACCAGACTTAGCAGAAAATTTGTGACAGCAGCTCACAGATTGAGATCTGGACACATGCCACTTAATAATTTTGGATTTTTAATGGGAAAAAATAATTCACCGAATTGTGAGGAGTGTGGTACAGTAGAAGATATTACGCACCTATTGAGGGAATGTGTCAGATTTCTGTCTGCAAGAGAAGTATTGTTTAGAGAGCTCGAGACAAATAAGTATAATGTTGGAATGTTCCATCATATTTTGTCAACACCTAACTCTAAGGACGCGTATAATTTAATTAAGTTTGTTTTATTGCGTTTTAGTGTATAGTTTACTAACTGTAGTTATATAATTCATTAGATTTATAAGATTATAAGGTTCGATGGGACTGACATGTACATTTGTATAAAAGTCCCTAAATAAAATAAAGAAAGAAAAAAAAAAAAAAAAAAAATGTCCGTCGCACACTAGAGCAAGATACCCTTATTGCTTATGCGATGCCTCACCCAGGCGGGAGAAGTCATTCAAAAAAAGAATTACTTATGCGAAAAACGAAACGCGGTTTTCAATCTACCCTCTACAGCTATGTATCAAGTCAGAGTCTAATGCATTATTTGACAGAATCAAGTCAACCGATTACTTACAGTTTATACCGATTCCCATAGTAAATATCTTATGTTACTGGTTGTTTAAGTACGTGTTATTGTCGTATGTATTTTGATAGTTAATTCTTGGCGTTGTCTTAGAAAAAATCTTATTAAGCTATGGAACCTTCAACCTCAGGTATGTGATGATATTTCAGACACATTTTACTTTGATTTACGCTATATTAGGTGTATTAGTGTATGACTGCCTCGTTGGCCGAGTAGTCGCAAGTGCGACTGCCGGGCAAGGGGTCTCGGGTTTGAATCCTAGGTTGGGCAAAGTATTACTGGGTTTTTTAAAAATTATCAGTAGGAGCACGGAGTCTGGGATTGTGCCTGGTATATGGTAATAGGCTCGCCCCCTATTACATGGGCTTTATAACATAAATAGTGAAAAAGTGGGTGTCACATTGTACAGTGGCATTAAGTGTCGTAATGTGCAACTCCGTCTACCCCTTCGGGGATAAAAGGCGAATTCAAATCAATCAGTACATTTATGATACAATACTTTTTCAAATATTATACAGTTAAGCTTTTAGTTATGTTCATAACTTTTTTCTTCACTATCCATGTACTTATTGTTGGGAAGTAAACTAAAGAAAAAGGTGCTATTTTATAAATTATGCGCTAGTTTGTTTAAACGCGCTAATCTCTAGAAATACTGATTCGATATGAAAAAATCATTTCATTTTGTATAGTTCGTTTATCGAGGAAGGCTATAGGCTATGAAACATCACGATACGACTAATAAGAGCCGAGCAGAGCATTGAAAACGTGCGGGAGTAACTAGTTTAAAATAAAACTGAACAGGTGCACACACAAAAGAAAACATGTAATATAAAAAAGATCTTATTTGTATTTAGAAGCAATTGAACGAGAAACATTTTATTTAATGCCTACTAAAAACCCTTTTAGTTTGGTTTACATTGGTCTAGTGAGCGTCGTTTAAAAAAAATCAAAGGTCTGTCTAATATGTACCTAAAACCCCTCAATATTATGAACGTTTGATACTTAGAACTGATGGAAAATTATAGTGACATTTTATATGCTCATTTGTGACATAATATTTTACCTATTGGGACAAAAGATACTTGTTGAAAACGACACAGTAACTTTATTAGCATATTTTAATGACATTGGTTCTAGTCACCTAGCAAAGTAGTAACAACTTAGTTATATTTGTAAAAAAAAACAACATGTATTTAGTCATCTTCTCTCTTATTTGTATGAATCATTCGGGGAAAAGAATTGAATTATTTATTTATTCTTCTGCACACAAAATTACAGTGAAGTGCGGTCTTAATGCCTTAAGGCATTCTCTAACAGTCAGCCATAGGGTAGTGCAGAGAAATGAAGTGGTTGATGCGAAGCCAGAACACAATTTCAAAATGATTATATGGATACACTAGCGATCCTCCCCAGCTTCGCACGGGTGCAATATGGCATGTATTATACATATAAGAATCACTCTATCTATTAAAAAAACCGCATCAAAATTCGTTGCGTAGTATTAAAGATCTAAGCATACATATATAGGGACAGACAGACGGCGGATAGCGACTTTGTTTTATATACAACAATGTAGTGATGTAGTGATAGTGATTACTTCAAACTACATTTGAAGGTAGATATCTGTGTCTAGTTATTAGTAACTACAGACAATATAAAGTCCCTTGTTAAAGATAATATTAACAATAACATAACTAATCACGTACAATTTTCTTAACGTTATTGAGAAACTCCAGTCTAACCGGATTTTCCTCATATATTTTTTTATTTACATGTAACTCGTAAGATGGCAACTTTTTTCTAAGTCCTATTCATTTTATAGGTAACATCTAAAACCAAGATATATTAATCTTACGTCAAATGAAACTGGCTATTTTTTTACAAAAAAAAGGCGCGATATAAATATACAGGCTGTTTAAAAAATTAGAATCTCTTCCACGAAAATATTTGTCTAATACGATTTGCTCACGCTGTTTATTCATGCAGAATAGACCAATATTAAACGTTAAGTCGTATATGCATAATAATTAAATACATATAAAGCGCAAATTTACTTTTATACCGATTTAGGTACGGCAGGAATCGTAGTCTATGTGAAGTAATATTTTATTATTGATACTTAACAATTTAAAGTGTAAAATACTAAGTAAATCTACTTATGTAATACACACAAATCTTTGTAAACATAAAGATGTCTGATTCGTTAGTGGTTGCTTAGCAACTAGTCTAGTAGTTATTGGAACGATGACTAACAAAAGTTTTGATGTAAAAATATGACTTATTTACCACAGGGCTTGTTGTTGCTTGCCTTGAGTAAAGTTAATTTATACATAAACAATTATGGTGTCTCAGATTTCCGTATATTTCTATATTAAATCTGAAAGCGCGATTTGTTTTGGAGATAAAAAGTCGATTTTGTCCTTCATAGTTTTTATTGCTTTTATTCTATGAAGGTAAGTTATGTAAATATATTGTTGTTATGACATGGTATATTTTCATAATATTTATAATACTTAATAGACACGTGTATATTCGAGTGTTTTGTTTTATTGAGGGTGTTTTAAAGATTAATGCTAAGCCACTAGGCACCAGACTTTCATTTAGTACATATTCAACCCAATTTTATTTAGGTAAAGTCTGCTTGTACGGATAAATTAAATAAATTAAATACTTAATGGTATTTTCTCTTCCAAGATATAAAATGCGTAATATATTATGTGAAGTGTGCAAGCTTAGGACAGATAATATCAGTTTGATATCTAATCATATCGAAGGAATTATTATTGAGATCACACTAATTATCTCATTATAGTTTCGAAAATATAGATAAAATTGAGGATAATGTTCAAAATTTATTCAGAAACATGAATTCTTGTGCATGATTATAAACGTACACTTAAGTGTATAGGAGGAACTTAAGGAATCAATTCCTTTTTTCATTTTTATGTTATTTTATATTACTGATGAACTTGTATGTTTTACGATAGAAAGGGTTATTATGGCAAGAGTATCGGCATCGTCGCTCGGCCGAGATATCGCGACCCCGACTTGCCCCGTCTGCAGATAGCTCCAGAATGCCGCCACTGTTTACATCTTGTAATTTAAATCTTGTAGTTTTAATACCAAATCACTGCATTAAACGTTATTACACTTATTACTATTCACACAGCTATTAGCTTTGTCTGTCAAGGATCATAACAACTTACAATATAATTTAGACTAATTATCTCATAATTACTTGATATTTGTCTCAAGTGTCAGCATTAGATTGTAGTACTTTTCAAGCATCATTATCACTTATACAGCAACTCTGTATTTCTGTAAAATATGCGATATGACAGTATCGGATGATATGGGTCGGTCATTTCGTCTTATCATCCCTCAGATAAATCATCTCCACGAACATTATCAGAATCCTGGTAGATAGCATGTAGCTACCCACACAACAGACGCACACATGGCAACAAAGGAGTACGCGAACAAAGCGAGTGCGTATGACAACTAATTAGTCATCCCGTCGTGTCAGTTTGTTTACTTAATGGTACATGACGGTTATGGCAAAACGTTGTGTTCGTCAGCTGCTACTGAGTGACTCCTCGGGCGCGCCGCATTCGATTCCACATCCGCTGCATTTCCGATAACGGGTGAGTCAGCGGCGCGGTGTCGGGTGTGCGCCGCGAATCGGCGAATCGCTACCATTTGCTGACTTGGACAGTGTTGAGCGGGTCATTCATAGGTGCCGTCAGCAGATTGGCGAAACGGATGTTAGGTGCGATGTCGACCGCGGCCGTCAGTCGCAGGCAAACCGCGAGCGCGGAAGGTCGCGCTGTGTCCATCAGCTAGTCACCCGAGACCGGCGTGATCCTCTATAAACATCGCTATCGACAACTTGTACACAATAACGGTGTGATAAAAACGAAAACATTACCCGGAAGCGGTGTAGTCCCTGTCACCAAACTCATTACTGGATAAATATTTGCTGTGATTAGTTTACTGTTTGTTATGATCTACGTTTCGTAAAGTATTCCGTGATAACAGGGTTGTGATATTTGGTTTAGTTAAACCACCTGTTGATTATTCGTGTTTATGTGGAGCAGTATCAGGATTATCAGTTGTTGCGTTACTTCGATTAGTGGATAACAGTTGGACGTGGGTGTTGCGTGGTGTCAGGCGGCTGGAAGATGCCGGTGCTCGGTTACGAAATGACATCACAGGAGTTGTGCCCAATGTACAGCACAGTCGACTATATGATGGGTGGACAGCCACATGGGTGGGAGAAGCACTCCAGTAACCAATACTACGGGCCTGTAGTGCGCAGTCCGCCACAAGAGGCGCGGCCTGTCGTCACATACAATAACGAAGGTTTGTTGACACCACACTCCTAAGTTCACGTTTTATTCGCACGTTTATCAACATGTTGATATGTCGTTAATATTTGCATAAAATAAGCAAAAGAAATTAGCAACCTAGCTACGTTTAAAAATAATGATGACTTCAAATGATATTTTCGTCAATTTCTGCGTTTTATCTATGTTTTTAGCTCCTTGTTGTAATCTATGTTGATAACAGCTGACACTTTATAAAGAATGATGTATGGTTAATTACTGTTTTCGTTATCATGTAGATTTCAGTGCATGATGTCAGCACAACAAATGGATTCAGATTTCTTTATAGATCACAGAATAATCAGTTTCTATACTTCTACAATGACAAACAGTTCAACAGTGCTTATGAAATAAACAGTATTCATTGACATGTAGGAACGGCGCATTTAAAGTACATACTAAACTTTAAATTTTATTGGGTCGAGTTATCGTGAATATTTAAGTAGTTCCACTGAAGGAATCTAGCTGAGCTAAAGCAAAAAACAGGGATATATGTATAACTAGCGACCCGCCCCGGCTTCGCACGGGTGCAATATGTATATACATTCAAACCTTCCTTAAGAATCACTCTATCTATTAAAAAAAACCGCATCAAAATCCGTTGCGTAGTTTTAAAGATCTAAGCATACATACGGACATACAGCGAAAGCGACTTTGTTTTATACTATGTATTGATTGATAAGTGGCTATGCATAATTACAACATAGAGGTAGAATAAAACTTATGCGGATGAAGTTTCGGACGAGGCGCCACTTAATTGTAAAAAGAACCTTCCATACCCTTAAAACCTCCAATTGGACCAATTGAAGTTTATGGTCTTAAGCTTTATGATGTCTCCTAATTATCCTAGGCTTTTCCAGTCTAAATAGTTTATCAGATACTCACTACATTTAATTTTTTATGGCTTCCGTAAGAACCGCACACATGCGACCACGAAGAATAAAACAAAACAACAATTTCCATTTCAACTCTATTCGTCCTTAAAAATAAATATACCTAAAGTACTAGTAAAATGACCAATTCCGTATTGTTGACAAACATTCTTATTTCACACGGTACGGGTTACAATGAGATTACAAAGATGACCTGCTATTTTCAGTTAAAACAGCTTGCAACTGTCTTAGTTTTGCCTTACGAGTAAATCTTATATAGGTGCCGAGATATGAATCCCGTTTCTTGGACTGTGATTGGTCAAATACGATATCAGTTGAGGTTAAAGAAAGATAAACCTCCCACTCGTATACTTTTGATGTAGGTACACATGTTCTAGGTCAATAGAAACACTATTTTGATACATTATGAATGTTGCTCAAATATCTACGTAATGCACTGATTATTATTATATTGCAGGTTTTTGATCAAAAATAGTAAACACCCTGTAACTGTTATTTCGACTTAGGCAAACAATTTATTTTTTGTACTTTGAGTCCCCATTATGGATTAATAATTAAATAAAACGTAAAAATGAACATTGCGTTTTGTATTTGAAGAAAATCTCAATAATTTAATAATAACAGTCAGTGCGAATATTGTTTCCTAATAATTTAATAAAAATAATAACTAGATATAAATCACCCAATAAAATTATTACATTAAATAATATTCTTTTAAAATATAAGAATTATTAATGGACTCTTATAATTCTCTCAATAAATATGTATATGGAAATAATGAATTATACCTGCAGACATGTCATATACAATTTTTCCGTGTTTACTTCCATTATATCCTGTGTCTTGACTCTTGACGTCGATGGTTTTTACACGATGCAGTCTTGTCACTCGACTAACACTAAAAATATCGTAAGCATTCATTTGTTTATGTTTTAGACATAAAAGGCTTATTAGTTAGTGAATATTGCAGTGGAGGAAGAACCAATTCACAATCCACAAAACACATGTTAAAAGTGTATATGTTCTTCAACCATACGCTAACTTTACGATTTCGAATATACATATTAAAAAATTACAATCATGTAAATAATTTAGATAACGTTGGTACAAATTAAAAATCATTACATTGTCTTCATTATAACCATAGACTATATACTGCATCACAATACGACTATATATATTCGGCCTTAATGCCTGGAATGTTTTACACAAGTAAAAGAAAATCAGCCATATTTTTGAACAGGGCTCCAACTCCAAGTTAGGTCATACGATAACTGCGCAGGACTGCGTAGCATAGCACTGGACTAGTAATTCTTACACATTTAATAAATTATTTTGTTCTCGGGCAAATACGATACGCAAAGAAATCAAAGGAACGAAAGTCGCTATAATTGTTATGCATAAAACCGAGGGATATGACAAAAAGAAGGAGAACCGTGCCCAGCAGTGGATGAACCTGGACTCGACACTTAAATCATTTATTTCAATTAGAACAATAACCCAGTTTTTTAAGTAATCGAACTCATCGATTGTGATTGCAAACGGTAGCTAAATTGTTGTTTTTCTTGTTACAGACAGTGATATGCAGCTAGAGACGAGCAGTAGTGAGGCGAGTGCAGCGTCGTCCGCGGCCCTATCGCAGCACTGCGCCATCTGCGGGGACCGCGCCACAGGCAAGCACTACGGAGCCTCCTCCTGCGACGGCTGCAAGGGTTTCTTCAGACGAAGCGTCAGGAAAAACCATCTCTATACATGCAGGTAATTGTTCAACCTTATAAGTTTTACCTGCCCTTTGTCATAGTCATTTTTAGCAATGTATAGCAACTAGCTCATTCCCAGTAACTTGTGAACAGTATGACAATTTAGCATGTTTAGTTATTCTACACTTGATTTACTTAGGTAATACTTAAACAATATGGTGAAGGTTAATTCAAGGCCCCGATCAAAACATACCCTCTAGTCATCGACGGTTAACAGAAAACTGTTGAATTGTTTACATATCCTCCGTCTAACATCGACCAACATTGACCACGTTGGCCATGAATGAACGTACTATACAAAGTATCTAACACGTACTTACCATCACTATAAAAATAATACCAATTTAAAAAGACATAAATATGTAACCAGAGTACGCAGATAAACAGTAGACCAAGTGGCTCAGTCTAATAGGCTGTGACAAATCATGATAGATAACGCCTAACCTATCAACTGACGCCGACTTAACCAATTGACTACGTAGACACAACAGCAAATCAAGGTATCCTATAACAATCGGTCGCAGTGGCTGGATGGCGGATGCATAATGTCGTGGATGCGCCAAAACAATTCTTTGATATCATCCTTATCCATAAATTCTGTTCTCCGTATTTGTAAATACAGGGCATAAGAGAAAATTATAGTGTGCAACCTAAATAAAATTACATTGCAATTTCAATTTTATTACAAAATATTATGGTTGAAAATCTATTAGAAAGATGATGTAGATTGATATTCTAGCGTCTGCTCAATAATCGATGTTTTTAAACTATGTGAACGAAACAATTTTGACCGAATGCTGATTGCGTTCATCAGCCATGACCTTGCAATAGTAGTAGATACAAAAACACACCATTTATTTGATTACGATCCTTGACATAAAATTGCTTCGGATTTCCGTCTCTTCCTGAGTTGTGTAATAGCATGAAATATGGATAATGTAACTATTAAATAACAACATGACGCATTCTCCGAAAAGGTAGGCCACGGTTAGCAGCTCTGTAAATAAAACATGGTTGCTAGTAGTCCTTCCAATAAAAGTGCATCATGCATGATGCACTATGCTTTAGAAGGAATTACGTGTGCCGTCTAGAGAATGATAGGCTATGTATACTGATTATGTTTATTGCCAAATTGTCATCTGCTAGATAGAAGCCTCTCGTCTCTCCGTAATACGTCACTGAGGTCGATCCTCAAACTCTTCAGTTCTAATCACTGTCAGCCAGTTTGAGCTTTGTGATTTTATATTAAAAAAACATTATGTAATTTATACCACACCCATATACCACCCAGGTCTAGTGAAGTGTCGCAGATTCACGATTACGTCAAAGCTAATCTTATACAAATATTGAACTGTTCAAACATATCGCCAAGTCATCGTTACCGAGCATACGCTAATAACTAATAACACACATCAAGTTACTTTTTTTTGTTATGTTTTTCGCGAAAAATATTGGTCGCAAAATACTGGCATAAGATGTCCAGAAGAAGCAAATTAAGTGTAAAAAGGCAAAGTACAAAAAGGTTTCGTTCAAATAGTGTTTCCTTAGTCTGCTTTACTCGTTGGGGTGTTTCCATTTTTTCATAGATCGTTGGGTTTTGTCACTCTTTTTATTCCATTATTAATAGCTACAGAGCTTTTTATAATGCACAAATTCTTCATCGACACTACGACTGAAAAATCCATAACCTTAGTAGTGAGATCAAACGATACTCGTCAATTAAGAAATAGTTTTTCAGGTGTCTTATTTCTCTGTAGCAGATTAGATATCCCATATATTGAAAATCCATTTTCTATTTATTAATGAATTTATTTAATTAATTAAAACTGTCAAACACCAAGCGGTCACCGGTGACCGCAACCTATTGTTCTATAATTGTGTCTATAATGACGGTACTTGACGAGTTAATTTACTAGATCATATACCTGTCACAATACTAGATCACGTAATACGCCTATCTCTAATATTGTTAAACAAAATGAACCAGTTTTGCTTATCTCGCTGTCACTTGCGGATTCACGAGTGCACTTGTGAAACTGGTGAATGACACGAGTTGGCAAGCCCCTGGCATTCCCTCACCGGTGGGAACCTCACAACCTCAGCCGATGCTGGGAGCACGCCAAACTATAAATTCGAGAGTAGATGATAGCATATGAGATAGAGATTGCTGCAAAAATTACGTCACCCGTAAAATAACAACTGATAATCTGGTGTTAACATAATCATTTGGTACTTTATTTGTGTCTTGTATAATATGGGGTATCTTTTACCATTGTTTAGATTAGAATACTCATATACCAGTAAGCGACCTTGTAGGATTATTGGGATAAAGAGTATTCTCTCAATAAACTAAACTTTTCTTCAAATATAGAAACCATCTTTCAAATAGAGCTTCGGAGCCTGTTCAGTAGATACAAGCTACAATCATAATATCTTTCCTCATTCCAATATTAGTAAACATTTACACATAACTAATTAGTCCTACGTACGTATGCACAATTCGTATCATATAGTTACGTCAAAATATGTTTGTCAGTAAGTACATAGAATGCGGTTTACCGTGAGTTCTAACAAACTTGTTTCCTCTTAAATGTGATCTTGTTTTTGTGTCAGCTTCGTCTTTACGTCAATATATTGATGTGTTTATGTATATTGCAGGTAGGTTTCTTACCGGCTATGTTAGGAAAAACAACTAAAATATGTCTTTGTAATGATATTGGTATTATTACCTTGGGTAATTGGGTATAGTGCGCAGTGTCCTTTCCTAAATGCGAGGTGATTTCGTGTCGATTTTAAGATTGCATCTCAAAACTTGTCCTTTCTAGTTTCTGGAAATAGAAGATTTCACTAATAAGGAGATAAAATTTTTCCGAATAAGATATATCGAGGTGCGTTTCTAGAGTCAGCAAATATTCTTAAGTTTATTAAATTTTTGATATGGGAATAACCACAGAACATATAAAGAAGGTTCTTCTATTTATGTTCTGTGGGATTATCTATGTTTATTGTGTCAATCAATCCTCCTCCTTGAATCAATTTCCTCAGTACTAAGGGTCGTGACTACCCTTCTGCATCACCTTTTCGCAGATTTTTCTGCATTAATTTCTGTCTCTGGCGGTCTGGAGGGCGTTATGGATAGTGGAATCGAGTGTGATGTGGATCTGATCGTCAATCAATAGTAAGACTGCAAGGTTGGTGCGGTGGTTGAGCAACTGGCTGCTGCGCAACGTGTCGCGGGTTCGATTCCCGCACGGAACAACTCTGTGTGATCCACATATTGTTGTCCCGAGTCTGATGTCATGTGTTCATATAGAACATGAATGTTTGTTAACGCACCCACTATACAGGAGAAAATCCTAGTGTGGGGTTTTTTTAAAGAAAGAAAGAAAACAAATAAATATTCGAAATATGACTTTTACTTACCGCATAGCAAAACATAAGTTTTTTCTAATATCCGTTTAATATCGAAACCAGTACTTTTCTCCAAATTGAGTTCTCGAATGGTATATAAATAATAATGATCACTAATATCATGAATTCATGATGATTTTAATAGATAGCTATAGAAACGTAAATACCCCGAGTTTGGTATATTTTTAGACACCATTGACGTATGTTATATGCAAATTATGATTTTTTATAACCTTCAGCGAGTATAGGTTATTAAATATTATGGTCTGTAGGCTTATACCTTTTTTGCTGTTCAATAATTATGGTAGCTTATTAGCTTTACAATACCCGTGTATGGATTAACGTGGCATGGCGACTTGTTTTCTATCACAGAAGTATAATTGAAGGTCAGACTGAGAGAAAATACCTGCGTCATTAAGTCCACCTATTACGCATCGAGGGTATAAACCATATTAAATAATTAAAATGAGTTTACTTTTGATCAACTCAAGAGCTTGGTAAATTTTCTTTTTAACTTAGATCCACTAAAATTTTATCTCAAGTTAATAGGTGCGTTTACAAACATACAAGGACAGAACACCCAGCCCGAAACAATAATTTGTGGATCGAACAAGAAATTGTTCTGTACGGGAGGAAAGCTATTGTCATGTTTTTCAAAATATTAATGAAAAAATCACCCCCTATTACACGGAACTCATAACATAAATAGTGAAAAGTGGGCGTTACATTGTACAATGGTATAATGTGCACCTCTGCCTACCTCTTCGGGGATAAAAGACGTGATGTTACGTTATGTTATGTTAATTAAAAATTATATTTGTTACAGATTCAGTAGAAATTGTGTGGTGGACAAAGATAAAAGGAACCAGTGCAGATATTGTAGACTAAGGAAATGCTTCAAAGCGGGAATGAAGAAAGAAGGTAAGATTTATAGTAATCATCAGATGACTTTTAACAGGACCTGAATGGTTTTCCTAATAATGGAAGTCCCAATGCCCATGTAATAGCGGGTAAACCTAAAACCATATAACACGGTGTCTTGGCTCTTTATTATTATATATTATCACGCCTTTTATCCCCGAAGGGGTACGCAGTGCCCTACATTACGGCACTTAATGTAACACCCACTTTTCACTATTTATGTTGTAAGTCCTACGTAATCGTAGCTGAACCTATTACCATATACCGCCAAAAGTCCAGACTGCGTGCTACTACTGAGATTTTTTAAAAACCAAGTGTAAAACTTTGAGTTGACGAAATCGAACCGATGTTTTTTTATTATTAAATACTCTTTGCTAACTTAATTAAGAATGAGAGAATAAAGTATCAGTGGAATAAAGGCTCCTTTAAATCATTAACATTTTTTACATAAAACCTTATGGATTACCTTATTTAGCCAAAAATCCTTTAGCTTCCCCTGAAATTAAATAAATACATAGCAATATTATTATATTCATTTGTCCCTATTTGCTCTTGAGCCAGACAACAGTTCACCAACCTATATTATCTACCGACGATAATACTTAAATTATTTAATTACCTCATTTATTCCATTATTTACTTGTATTGTATTGTAAATTAAACAATCCTTCGATTAGTAGATATGTGCAGAAACCATAATTATTATATATTTGTCGTAATTTCATTTGATTCTGTTTCAATGAAAAAATTACATCGAAATGAATCAAGTGCTTTAGGAATTTAAGTTGCCAAAATTTAATGTTGTATGTCTATGGCTACCAAGTGTGTCTGCGCTGCAAAACATTTTTTTTTTTCAAAATAATTAAACTAAGCCATCTTAAAACATAAATTTATCCTTCTACCGTACAATAAATAGGACACGGTGGAACACACGGTCGCGGAATGCCCTGCGTGGGCTGAGCACCGCCGTGTCCTCAGGAAAGTGATCGGTGATGGCGACCTCTCGCGTCCGGGCCTAGTGCAGGCCATGATGCGGAGCGAGGGGGACTGGGATGCCGTCTCCTCCTTTTGCGAAGCAGTCATGCTAGCCAAGGAGGAGGCGGGACGCGTGAGGCAGCGAAGCGCTGCCTCCTCGCAACCCAGCCATCGCGAAGGACACACCGGGCGTCGGGGATCGCGGGACGATCTCCGGCCACCGTAAGCGCGGGCCTGCGGACGGCGAGCATGGGTGGCTCCCCGTCCGACCAGAAACAGACCCGAGCGTATGGCGCGTCGCGTTCCGCGCGCGCCTCAAAGAGCCATCAGACCACCACAGATGGGGCCCAATAGGGCCGATGCCGATCCGGAGTCGCGGAGAACCTAACGGGTAACCGGGGCTCCGGCTCGACGTGCAGGAGAAGGAACGGGGTGGTTTTTAGTCAGTAAGAGTCTGACACTCCCTTCCGCCTCACCCAGGCGGGAGCAGTCATTCGATGATTTTCCCCCTTAAAAAAAAAAAAAAACCGTACAATAAATGAACAATTACTACATTGGATGTCACACCACAGACATATTTCAGTTGTTATTCACCATACATCGTAAATACGCACACAGATTTACTGGAAACTAATCTAAATATATATATTTACAAGTTTAATTAATTCGATTCATTTAAATTAGTTCACTTCTAGGCATATTGTGACCACTTACGTCGTTCCTAAAGCTGATTAACTGTTCACAAATGTGTAATTGACGTTCGGGATTTCGGATGCCTATGTGTATGTAATATTTTCCGTGTTCGTATGACTAGCGATATTCTATGAATTAGGTTCATAAAATTGAGGGAAATAATAATAATAATTCTAGTACTAAAGGTCGATTTTTCATTCATCATTTAATTTAGATTTTCTTAACTGAGGAATAAGTATGAATATTTGACAATTCTTTCATACTAAAAACTGTCAAGTGTCAAAAGTGTAAAATTCAAAATTAAGACTACTTTTTCACTTGGAACGTAACAGAATGATTGCCTCGTTTGCCGAGTGGTCGCAAGTGCGACTGCCGGACAAGGGGTCTCGGGTTCGATTCCCGTATAGGGCAAAGTACTACTGTGTATTTATAAATTCTCAGTAGTAGTACGGAGTCTGGAATTGTGCCCGGTATATGGCAATAGGCTCACCCCCTATTACATGGGACTCTTAACATAAATAGTGAAAAAGTGGGTGTTACATTGTACCTACAGTGGCATAATGTGCACCTCTGCCTACCCCTTCGGATATAAAAGGCGTGATGTTATGTATGTACGTAACAGAATTACAACTTTTTTTTACACATAAGTCCCACATTACATCTATCTTTCTAACAAAATTAATCGAAATCTGCTCATCAGTTTACAACGTACAGCGTGTCACTCAAATTACTTTCACATCAGGACATTCCAAATTCTTTTCAATAATGATTATTTTTATTAGGGAACCTCCCTATGACCATATATTGGAATACAAATAATTTCATTACATATTAATGCAAAGTAAAAGTAAATTCATTATTAAAATTGTATACAAACGCAATATAAGGTAATATTGTCACAGCAGTCAATGAGTAATGAAATGACCTAACGTTTATTAATCACTTTTCTTTATACATACATAAATATAAAGTAATGACGTATGAGTACATAGGTATTCCTTACAGACGTACAATGGTAGTACTGTATGTGTTCATTGTGTTACAGGAAAATTAATTAGTTATTAGGGATTTTACTAAATACGTATGAATACAAGAAACGTTATTAGTAAGATGAAATTAATGATAATATTTCGTTTTGATACAGGGATATAGTTATATATTGTGTTTCTAGGGATTTTGGAAAATACTCAAGTTTCTTTTATGTAAGCAGGGTAATCATGAAGTCACTTAAACTCTGTTTTCAAATTAGGTGAATTAACAATTTTTTATTGGAAACTGGAATTATAATATAATATATATCGGCCATCTGGCTAGGCTCAAAATTTTAATTTAAAGGATAGGTGTCGGGTATGCACTTTACCTACTGCTTACCTGATAATCTTTATTTAGGGGTGCTTTACCTGATCATCTTTATTTTATTATAAATCTTATGTTATTCTTGCAGCGGTACAAAACGAGCGGGATCGTATAAACTGCAGACGGCCATCGTACGAGGAGCCGACACAGGCGAACGGACTGTCCGTCGTGTCGCTACTTAATGCAGAGCTGCTCAGCAGGAAGGTTATAGATGAGGTGAGTGCAGATCATACATATTTTTACGGGATAGGTTGCTAAATGAGCACAGAGACCACCTGATGGCAAGCAATCGGCGCCATCCATGGAACCGGAAGAGTTACAACTGCGATGCCAGTCTTTGAAAAAGCGATCCTGTCACTTCTGGTTATTTTAATAGTGGAAATCAAACATAGTTCAATGTTTTCTTTTTAGCAGCGATATTATCAGTCAGTCTCCTCAAATTATCCAAGTGAACTATGGCAATAGTCTCGCTCCCCTATAACCCAGGATTCATAACAAAAGTAGTGAAATAATAACTATCGTGAGACATACTAAATTAACTAAAAATTGCGGGTTACACACGTGAATATACTGAGAAAAGCTCTACTAGTTTCGAACCACAGAGAGGTTCTTCCTCATGAGAGTACATCTTTTTTTAGTATATTCACGTGAGTAACCCATGATATTTTAGTTAATAAATAGTAAAAAGTT